GTACTCTCTCCTGTAGTGGTTTATTGAACCACAATACTGATAAGTGATTAATAAAAGTCAAAAGACCAAAGAGGTCACTTTAAAAAAAAAAAAATAATAAAAAAATAAAAATAATAATTAAAAATTTTAAGAATATAAACATATTTTCAAATTATAATTATATATAAGTTGTAATTTAATAATTATATTTTTTTTTAGCCTTTTATTTGTCTAATAAAATTTGTTAATTATAATTAATATTAAAAATATATAAAATATTTAAAATAATATAAACTATTTTAGATTCTTGCAAAATATTTTTATATTTACTACAACTAGTCTGAGTATTTTAAATATATTTAAAAAAATAAAATAGAAAAAAAATTTAATAAATTAATAATTGATAAAAAAAATATATATATTTTTTAAATATTAAGATAAGTACTTATAATCTAGGATTTTTATTTATAGTACATTTAGCTAATAGTTATATTACAACTACAAAATGCAATCATAAAAAAAGTATACAACTAGCCACTTATATAACTTTAGTTATTGTTTAATTTAAGTAGTTTATCTAAAGATTCTATACAAGCTGTTATATCTGAAATTTGCTTGTAAGTTCTTTATTTAAATATTTTAGTTTTTATATTTACTGGGGGTGTGGTGATTTAGTGAAGTGGATAAGTTGTCAACCCTCCAAGTAGTAGGTTGGGAGTTCAAAACCCACAGACGGCAAAAATTTGGAAAACCACCTATGTTACATCAGTGTATACAGGCATCTGTGCAATGTTGGAGTTACACAAAGAAATGCAAACTGGCATTGGGCAGTACAAACACAAGATAAGTCTTTGAAACCGGTAATACAGCAACGGCTATCTATCGATCAGTTGGAATCAGTACCTGTAACATGGTCACATCAGATAACTGGCAGGTTATGAGGCATCTGTGGCCATGTAAATCCATGAACTGGGATAACTGAAGCCCACTTGGGAAGACCCGAGTAGAGAGGTAACATGGATTTTTAACAGTACTACTGTAAAGACTAGACCTAGGAAACAGATACCAATATGAAAAAAATCAGATGGGCAAGAACCTCGGTGAGGGGTACTACCAACCAGGCTGCCAGAAGACTTGAACTGGAGGAAAAGGATCTTGAGGGGTAGACCCTGGAGTACCAGGGACAGGTCACAGTCCTATCGGGCTATCTGGATTGGAAGTTTGAGGTTAGAAATAGAGGTATACTAAAGTACTAGAGATATGCTGTGAAGTTAGTGCTGGGGTCCAGATGAACTCTGCAAAGGCAAAGCCCTGTTAGCAAAGATTAAATGTAGGTAGTTAGTTAGCAGGGGGGCCCTCTGGAGCTCTATAGTCAGGTGACATACTCTGAAATGTGTAACAGCCTAACAGACATATAGACAGAGAGGTCAAAGTTAGGTTAGACAGCATCTAATTAGGTGTACGAGAGCTTGTGCTGCTATCTGCTAGTATAGTATAGGGGTAACCTTGTACAAGTTATGTAATCATAATTAAATTCACAATAAAGGCAGTAGCTGCCATAACTAAAAGGCCTTAGCGTAAGCAAAAAAAAAAAAAAAAGTTTTTATATTTACTTATCTACCTATATCTATCAATATGACTGATTAATACTAGTGCAAATATATCATGATCACTAAGTCTTTAAAGCAGTTCATTCATATAAAGAACCTTTGACCTTGTACTAAACCTTCCAGAATCTTTTGTATTTTATTCTTATAGCTAATTTAGTAATACTATAGCTGAAACTAACATTTGTGATCAAAGCAAACTATTAAACTCTAATATATTAAAATTTTAAAAAATTTTTTATAATAAAGTTTATAAAATATGTTTTAAGAATATATATCAGTAACAGGACATGTCCTCCCTGATGATCTTATTAGTAATTATTCTTCATATAATATACATTAATGTGACTTTTTTTATTAATAGCTTCAATTAATAATAGTAAACAATATTTTGACTTTAGACAAGCTTTATTTTTTGAGATTTATACTTTTATTTTGTACCAAAAATATTTGTATTATTTTAATATTAATAAAATAAAATCAGACTTAAATCTTGCAATTTTTTAATGCAAATGTTGAGATTTTCTTTCAAGTATTATAAATTAAGGCTAGCTTCATTTTGCTAATAGTAACAAATAAAAAGCTCTACAAATCTCATTATTAGTGCAAGGCACTTTAGTTGCAGCTTTAGGCATTTACTATGAAGTGCTTTTTTATAAGATAAATTAAAGCATTAATTTGGATCTGTTTTCACATGATTTTAACTAAATTAGAATACTTACCATATAGTGCTGCCTATAGTACTCTGATCTTATTCAGAATAGCTTGAATAGTACCTAGAAATACTTGTATAAGAAGAGAGTACTATACAAGGAGAAAATGCTATAGATCACAATCGCAATATATTTAATAATATGGCTTATGGGGTACTAGTTAAAAAATATTAGCATTTGCAGTTAAATAGTAAGTATTTTGGTACTGTACAAGGAAGATACTTTATTAAGTGATACTGTAGGTAGCACTATATGGCATACATGACAAAATATTTAAAAAATTTAAAGATTGATCTTTGAAGTTTTTTTATTTTTTATTTTTTAAATAAATTTTAGACGAATTATAAGACCTATATGAAAGTTTAAAATACTGAATTCTAGATAAGTTATGTATAATAATTTAATGCTAATTTATTTTTGAACACTCTTGTTATTTCTTCAGTACTGCTTAACTCTTTTTTCTGTCCAATCTAAGAAGATGGTAAAAAGTTCGGATAATACCTTCTGAATTTTATTTTCAGATGCTGTATCACTATCTCCAAGTTCAAAGAGTTGTGCAAGGATTGTTTTTTCTGCTTCTGTGATAATGTGGCATGAATGTTTAAAAGAATTGGTTGCAGAAGATAATGGTGATGATGTTTGCTGTGATATTAATATATCCTGTTAATCAATTTATTTCTGAATAGAGTTGTCTATTTGACTGTCTATTTGGTGGCATTTTTGTTTTTGTTTTTGTTTTTTCATATCATCAAACTTTGCAACAGTATAATAATTTATATTTCGTATATGATGTTTGGAAGTCCAGTGCTTAGTTTTGTATACATCCTCTTCAAGCACCTCTTGAAAATGCAACTTTCCTGTTTCATAGAAAGAAAGTAGATTCTCAATATCTTCTTCACTAAATTCTGGTACATCTTCAAACAAATAATGTGTTGTAGGATTTGAATAGTCAAAGGTGGATGACAGATTTGCAACTAGAGACCAGAGCAAATCTTTACGTAACTTAATTGCACGAGTATTTTGGCTTATCACAATATCATCAATGTATTCTGAAAGAAGCATTGATAAACAATCTCTTTTACTCTGGGTTGCTTTAATCTTCAATATCATGGTCTTTTGGTTGGTGATATTACCAGTTATATTTTGTTTGACGAATTTTATACTGTATGTTTCAAGTGCTTTATCAAAACCAAAATAATGTCCTTCACTTGTAAGGTTTACTGAACATACTATTTGTAATAATTTTTGTAGCTATAAATCATCATAAACTTGAGCCAAAAAGTGTGCAACAGAACTTGTATATTTAAACTTTCTGGCTGCAGGAAATAGAGGTGCGAATGCAGCTAAATTTGCTATTTGCTTTTGGTAGTTTCTTCTTCTAATTCTGATTTTATGACCTATAAAATATCCCGTTCAGCGGAAAAAAAGATATCACATCTTTATTAGATAATTATTACTACATAAAATATTATTTATTGTTTTTTTCTCTTTTTTAACATGCTAACACAACGTGATCCCCACTGCCACCCAGATTAATTCTAAAACACAACAAGTTGCTCGGTAATCTACTACATGTTTAAATTTTTCTAGGTATTTTACTTCAAGAGTTGCTGCAAGGTTGAATAATCCATATTCAGAAATTATTATAATTAAAGTGCTGCATATATCTTTAGATGTGTGCCACTGTTCCAAAAGAAGTCAAACATCATTGTAAGTTTTTTTATAAGAAACTAGTCTTTCAAAAATTGCCTGATCATATGCAATATATAAACATTCATTGCAACTATGAGGTAATTTATTGTGATACATTTCACATGCCTCATGGACATTATCATTACAATTGGGTGGATTATCAGGTTTCAATATCACAATTCTTGGTAGTGAAATATTGCAACCTAGAGGTATTTGTTTGCTGATTTCAGAGTGCACATCTTCTATTTCAAATTTATCTACATGATTCTTTAATATTTTATTCAAAGTATTTTTATATATTATTAACAGATCATTAGTAGTTGAGGACTCTTCAAACAGTAGTTGGTTAATGAATTCATAATTTTCAACTAGATAGTCAAGCGAGATAGAAAGAATAAACTAAAATACCATTCGTAATGTTGCATGTGAAGTTTGTCATTCAATATCAAAAATATTTTCATATAAGAACGTAGAAGCTTTAAAATCGATATTATCAATTACTGCCAAATTCCAAATGTTTGGACCTTCAATTAAATTGTTCCTAGGATCTATACAATGTATCCTTAAGTTTTTAAGATGACTTTCATGCCTTTTAGTATATGAAATAATGGATGCTAAATGAAGAATTTCTCATAGATATTGCAATAATTTTGGATTTTGGCATATTAATGATATAATATTTGTAAGCCAAATCTTTACTCTGGGAAAAGCAATAGTAAGTAGCATTGAAGTTAGTAAAGTGGTAGTTTTTATTATCTGGTTTGTATCATGCGATTTTAAGGAAAGTTCATGCTGAAGTCTCTTACTATTAACAATTTTTTGTTTATGTTCTTGCAACACTATAAGAAGAGCTTAAAAAAAGGTATGAATAATATTAAGTAATGCATTAAAGTAGTTTTTATATGTGCTTGGGTTTTCTAACTAGCTTTTATTCTTTTTAACTTCAGAACATGAATATAAAATTTCTTTGCCTAATTTTTCTCTTATTGTCAAAGCTTTTTTTAAAATTATGTGAGGCCTTTTTTGAATTAACCTATTTAATTCAATTTTTTTCATTATTATTGCTATTCTAACAATTAATTTACTTGAAGATTTTGTCTTTTTTGTTTTAGATAAATTTTTGTTCATTGTTTCATTATTAAAAATAGCTAATGCTGGGGATATTTGAAAGAGAAGTTTTTCTTGCAGTTTGTGATCATCTGAATCTGCTACTGATAATAACCATTTCCTAATAAGCTTTAGATCATCACTAGCATCATCTTGGTGTTTTCCAAGTTTACAGGATTGAAATTTTTTGTAGTGAGGTCTTTCATAAAGATGTCTACTATTTTGTTGAAAGCATTCTGAGCAAACATAACATGCATGATATCCAGATAATGACTCTTTGGTAATATGTCCCTTGAAAAATGCAGGACAGTCATGAATGCCAATACAAGGTACCTGAATATTCTGTTCATTGACTTTCCATGAATGCTGTATACAACAGTTGCCACAACTAAAAAAACATTTTTTTTTATTACAGAAAAGGCAAATATGAAAATGAACAATGCTTTTAGCAATCGAACATAACTTTTTCATGCCTGGTTCATGAAGTTGGTTCTGATTAAATAGAAAATAAGTATAGCATACACTAAGTTGATCAAGTGTATTTGCTTTTTCCTCTTATATCTTTGCCACTTGTCACAATCGTCGTAAATTTGTTATGCTATTGCCTTGAATATTTTCAACTATATATGCATCTATTTCCTATGTTCCTATTTTTTGCTGCAATCACCACAGATTTGTAGTACTATTACAATACTTTACTTCATTATCAATGTAATCTATAATTACATATAGTATTAAATTTTGAATTTTTGTAGGAGTCTCTTCAATTCTACATCTATTTCATTGTTCATTGTTGAGGAGAATTCTTTAAAGAAATCAGCATTTACAGATTCAATCTCGTTCAAGTCAATGTATTCACATTCATCATATATTAAAGCTTGGGCATTTTCAAAAATCAATAAATGAATGGTAAAAGCTTTATTATAATTTTCTTCTAAGGAATCGAATTTTTCCAAATAAGTAGATTCAAAATCAATCATTTTGTTTAATAAAATATATTTTATAGAAATTTATAAAATAAAAATATAATTTATTTAATAGAAATATTTCAAGGTTTACATTTTAAAAAAAAAACTGTCCAAGATGGTGAGATTATTTATACCTTTTTTTTTTTTTTGATTTTCTCATTTTTATGCATTTATTTACTAATTGCATTTTCAGTTTATATATAAAAGGATGTAACGAAAACAATTCAATCAGACTTTAAACTATTATTTTAATTTCGAAACATTTTGTCAAAACAAAGATCACATCTGAACGAAATGTGTTAAAAGACAAAAGGTAGTTGTTCAGACAAAACTTTTCAAAAACATAATGATTATGTGACTATTTATTTTATTAAATACAACACATTTTCATACAATACCTATATGCGCATTATTTTTACATCAATGAATTTAATAAAGAATTCAATATGGGGTGTATTATTTATATATCAAAGAATAAAGAATTCTTTATGTTTGTTGAAAATTTAGTACAAATATGCCATATAAAAAAATTTATTATTTTATTTTTTGTATAAATAACAATGTTACAACAAATATAAACTATACAATCCATACAATAAAACATAAAAATAAAAAAATGAGAATCTATATAGCAAAATACAAATTGCTAAGGAACTAAAGAGACAAAGAAAAACATATTTACTGCTTGTTTAAATTACTGCCTTTAGCAAATTTTAATTACTGCCCAAATGCCTTTTTCATCTCTGGTCATACTTAAACCATTTCATAGCATATTTCAAGCCCACTTTGTACATTCAAATCACCACCTTCAACAGGTTTAGATACTACTCAAATGCCTTTCATTCATTCTTGTTTGAACAAGAATTGTAACTTATTTGTTTTATATAACAAATTACAAACTAAATTAGTAAAATTATCAGTTATAAAATAAGTGCTAACCAACTAAATATTCTTTAGTGCTGATAAAAAAGCTGCCAGCATAATATAGATTGCTAAATTATATCATTAGGAAAATAAAACTAAGGAAATTGAGCTTTCAGAAAAGCAGTTGTAAAAGTGATCATACTCGTGTATATAGATCCATATATATTACAAGGGTTAGGGTACTCTAAATTTAACTGAAGATTTTCTTCAAAATAAGAAGTGTTAAGAACTGAAACTTTGTAATCTAATAAAACTATACTCATACTATATTTTCGATTTAAAATGCAATAATTGTTTAGTTTCACGAATTTGGAGCCATCATAGGAAAAACTTTTTGCAAGAGTAAAATTTCTATATAAAAATTGAATGATCAACATAAAATTATCATATGAACAGCATTTGGAACCCCTGTAAAAGGACATGTCTTGTGACTGATATATTTTATAAACAAAATATATTTTATATTATTAATAAATTATTATTTTATTTAAAAAATACTAAATACAATTTAATTTTTCAACCAAATTTATTTAAAATACAGTTTAAGGAATAAGAATAAAAATAGAGTAATAGGGGTGTGGTAACCTAGTAAAGTGGTCAGGTTGTTAACTTTTAAGTGACAGTTCTAGAGTTCAAATCCTATGCATGATGAATTTTGAAAAATAAGGTCTGTATTATGGTAACTGTCTCTGTTGATCAGTTGGATTTGTGTATCTGTAACCTTTGTTGCACCATCTTGAATAAGAGCTCAGGGCATATATGCAAAGTGTAATGTTACACCCACATAGAGGAATGTTAATAACTGGTGTTGCATAAGACTTTGATACAAACCTATGATAAGACTACTAGGCATAGAAAGCAAAGAAACTGAAAAGTCAGAAACCCATTTGGAAATCCTGAGTAAAGAGGTAGTATAGACTTTTGACAATATTACTGAATCATTGAAAGCCCCCAAAAAAGGATTACTAGGACCTCAAACAGATCAGATGACAACATGTATAGAGGAGCATATACCAACTAGACTGCCAAGTTCGCCAGACAGGCCATTTGGATTGGTAGTTTGTGAAGTCTTGTAGGTCTTGTAGGTTCAGAATTAGGAGTATAGAAGTTAGGAAAGAAAGGTATCAGGATTTCTGTGAACTTTACAAGGGTATAGTGATTTAATAGTTAGTCCTGACTGCAAGTGATGGTCTAGGTCAGAGCAGTACTAGGTCAGCTGTAAGTATGGAATACAGAAGGCTCTGGTGGGCTTAGTATTGTTATAAAATGATTATTTTATTTTATTTTATTATTAGTTATTTTTAGTTATTATTTAATTATTATGAATATATTATTTTATATTGTTATATATGATGTAATACTTAGTTACTGTGCATTACTGTGCCAGTTACTGTGCCAATTACTGTGCATTACTGTGCCGCTTAGTCACTTAGTCACTTAAATACTTAGTCGCTTAGTCACTTAGTCACTTTGTCACTTTGTTGCTTAAATCCAAAGATATATAAACCCTGCTAAATTCTCCAAGTGACAGTAGATA